TTTTCCCACCAAAATAAGGTAATAATAAAGCCCTGTTTGTGGGCAAAGTATGTAAACTTCAGTGCAAGGCATGTTTCTTATTGTTTATAAAGCATCATGCAGGTCTGTGGTCCCAAACAACTGCCGACAGACATCTTTTGAGTGCTATTCTTTTTATATGACCCAAGCAAGTGAGAAGCCTTTCTCCTCACAAAACCAAATAAACTAGGTGCCTGGGATGCACCAAGGATTATCAGAGAAAAACCCAAACGGGAAGACAGAAGATTGGCTCCAACTTCTGTCAGATAGACAGATGTTCAGGGCTTGACAAAAGCATCTCTCCTTCAGCTCCCGGCTTCTCAAATGTATCTGAAAACCAATACAAACAGGAGGTCCTCCAGCAGTTTCTCCAAGCCCTGTCTGATCTCTCCTCCTGTTGTGATTTTTAGATGTAAGCACAGTGCCAGTATTCTGTGCCTTGTCATCCAGACTTAGCTGTGGGGCTGCTACAGCAATCAGTGACCAAAGTCACTTGGAAGAAGGTGCTGACAGACCCTGAAAATTAAACTGGCAACCCAACAGCAGCACTCAGGGAGGGGAGCAGCTCAACCACCTCTAAAGAAGTGAGAGTGGGATTGTCAGGTACATTGGAATTCATTGGTAGCTGTGCAAGTAACTCCCTTTAGACTTCCTGAAAATCCTAGTATTTGAAAAAATGATCAGAGATGGCTGTGTTACAAGCACATCATGGAAGGAACTGGAAATGAAGAGAAGAAACAGAAGATGCATAAGGGAGATGCAGGGAGTAAATACATCATGAACTCATAGTCAGTAGATATGGATGGAGCTGCACTTCACTGTCACCAGAAAAACTGGCAGCAGTCATATACTGTAGCATGTTAGCATACCATTACCAGTTTGGTCATTCACTTATCTTTCTCACATCTTCGTAGCTTCTCTAATCATCGCTCCAAGATGTTCCTAAGTATCGCCTCTGTGTTCGCTGCCCAATCCACTCTTTACTAGACCATCAGCGTGCTTTAGTTTCTCAGATACACTTCAGATACCATGAGTCTCAGTAGCAGAGACCTATGGACTATGCCTTGAAATTAGGTTTGTCCATTTGTTTATTTAAAGCTATGTTATAAAGCATGCTGAAGTGTTCTGGTTTTTTAATTAAGCAATGTAAGAAAACTGTGCTATCAGAAATTACTTAATGAGTCTTGCTGTTAATCTCACACAACTGCTAATTATAAGATCATAAAACAATTCTCCTCCCACTTAGGCTAAAATAGTCAACTCTTACACATAACCAGGTACAGCAGCAACTAATGCTTTATCACTTACGTGTAGCCCATCAATATCAATATCTGCGGCTTGAACCTAGCATACTCCTGAAAAATGTTGGCAGAGGAATGCTTGTACCACACTACTTTTCCTAACATTATGGCTTGTCTCCAAAGAGTAAAAGGCAAAGCCTCAGTGCTCTCTGGGGCACTTAGGAATGTTGTCTATGGCACTAATTGTACTTTTTAAAAAAAAGGAAGTAATAGCGGAAGTAGAGATTGGAGGCCAGACACTTCTAACCATTAGAGCCTCTAGCTATCAGTGAAGCCTGCTCCCTGCACCCTTTGCCCCTCAGAAGTGGCCGGGAACAACTCATGCATCACATGACTTGTTCTGACGGTACACCACCTTGGAAATCTGGGTTTTGTGGTGTCCCACTGTCTCTCCTCTATCTTATATGTTATTGTCCAACTAAAATGTGTGTGAGTCTAGCCAGTGACTTCCATCAGCACATCCACCCACATGCAAAGCTGGCACATATCCTACTTTTCATGGCCAAAGAGCTTTTTGCATTCCCTACACAGGTCTCCAAGATAAGTGCACTAGCCACTATCCTGCTGAATAAAAGGCTCTGAACTGCAGCAGAGCAGCCTCCCTCTCCTGCTACTATGCCGACTTCAAAAGGGTGCTTTCTGTTTGCTCACTTCAAAATAACCACAAGCATTTCTTCTTGGGAGAAGATTTTGGAAGTGCCTGTCCAAAGCCCTGAGTCCATCACCAGTTCTCCAGAGAGGAGAAGAGATTGCAACAGCCCTCCTGCGTTTGCAAGCTTCCAGCTGGCTGCCTTTTGGGTGTTCCTCATTCAGCATGCAGCTTCCTTGTGGTGCCCATACCTTGTCACACAGTGAAGCCCAGAGGTCTGGCTGTGGAACCTGATTCAGGACAGTCAAACACACTGAAGGTCAAAATTTTGCCTCTAAATTTAAAGCAGCCCTTGTGTTCTCTGTTGGTTCCCACCCTGGTACAAATCCCTGCCCAGAGCAGATCCTGCTTCATCTGGTGCTCAGGTGCAGAGGACAGGGTGCTGATAGGAAACAGTCACTGCTCTCTTTGGCCTTGTGCTTTACTTGTGTTGTCACCCTCATCTGTGCTTACCCATCCTTCTTCTGCCAACTTCATGTACAGATCTCTGCATCTGAGTTCTGCAGATGTGAACTCCAGCTGCACAGCTAGCCAACTGGCAAAATGTAGTTCAGTCCCATGAATCACACAGTCCTTCTAGATCACTACTGCAATGTCAGTTAGAATTAATTTTCTGTCAGGGTAGTTTCTGACATGCAGATATATCATGGATGTGTGTCTACACAAAGATTTTCCACAGGAAAACCTCCATGAGATTATTCACAATAGAATGACTACTAGCCTGTATCTGTTCTAAAATCAGGAGAAAGTATAGATACAGTGAGTTAGATATCTACTTTCCTTACAAGCAGAACTAGGACAAGCACATCAGCCAATTCATTCAGCATAAGTCACAGAGAATCCATGAACCAGTAATTAATAGCCCAAGCTCTGGAGTCTTAATAACAGACCGCAATAAAGAACTTAAGTCCAAATACTCAAAGGTATTCAGATGCCTAAGTTCCTTTGGTTTCAGCGCCATTAAGTATCTGGGCCTGACCTACAAAACTTCACCTGCAAAATCAAGGCCACACTCACGGATAAAACAATAGTTTTCTCCACTGAATTAATAAAGAGTTCAGAACCAGCTTGTATAGAAGCATGGTAGTAGGTGGTCTTTAACTACCCTGGAACAAGCTACAAGGGCAGGCTAATTGAGAATCATCATCCTTTTTTTTTTATTTTTTTTTTGTATAACAGAAATACCAGTTTTTTCATTGCTGCCTGTGCTACTCTTTAAATGAATCCCACATAGACAGTTAGTTGGATCCTATGAAACAAGAAGGCTACACTTGGCACCTGCTGCGTTACAGATTGTGCCTGCGAAATTGAATTTACAAGGACAAGACCAGAGAGAATGGCAAAAAAACAAGGAGCTGTTGAAATGATGAATTTGCCTATATTGTATTAATAATTTGTCATTAAGAATAAGCAAAGACTGCCATGCACTTTGCAGTAAACATCTTCAGTAAGTCTTCAGCGTGGGACCTAAGTTATTTACAAAATCAGCTTTGTTGGAGCATGATTCTATCATACATTGCTAACGCACGAGGAACTACACCCAGCTGACTTGCAAGTGGTACTATTGTGTATGTATTTATTAGACAATGTCTATGAAAAGGTTACACTGTGCGTGACAGGTGGCATTACCAATGTAACTTCAGTCTGCTGAACTGAAACCCAGGCACATTGCTAATTCACAGATTCAAAACCACCACATCCCTAAACTGAAGAAGTATAAAGACTGTCAGACAGCTGCCCGGTGTTTGGGCTTGTCTGTTGGGAGCAGAGAATAAATCTCGGTAGGTCAAAGATAACTTAATTCACTTAAGCACTTGTTCGTAGGGGAAGAACTTCATGGAACTCAGCTGAAACCCCCTCTAGGAGGTGTGGAGTGTGTGTGTATGTGGGTAATGTAGATGGAAAAAATAATTGTGTTTGTGTAACTTTCTCCCAGTCTGGAAGCTTGCTCATGTAGACCAACCAAGGGTCACTAACATGGTCGGAAGAAAGATTTTTAGAAGTGCAGGATTAAAATATGTAGCATCTTGTAATAGTGTACGGAGTAGTGCCAAGCTTGATGAAAAAGCACTGTGTCTGGAGATAGACGGTAACGTGGGAAACAACTCAGTGTAAGGAAATTAAATCTATGCTTAAATTAAATGGAAAAAAAATACAAAAATCAAGGGGCAACCCAAATTCAGATTTCACTACATGAGCCTGGAACAGCTCCGGGAGCCACAGGACCCACGCTGGCGGTGACTGCCTGCCTCTCCAGCGGGGGTGTTCCCTGCGCGTTAGAGCTCCCGCGGGCAGCTCCCACGCCTCGCGGGGCTGCTGCCGCGGCACGTGCTGTGCAGGCGGGCTCGCAGCAGCGGCGGTCGGACGCCGGCAAACCCGCAGAGGGCCGCGGGCTCCGGCGGGCAGGAACGCTCCCGGTGCTCGCCGAGGGCTCCCCGCCACCTCACGGCCCCAGAGCCGCGGCGGAGGCACAAAGGGCGGGAACGGGAAGCGGCTCCAGCTCCCGCCGCTCGCGGCTCCTCCCGCTTGCAACACGGGGCTGGGGGGCGGGGCGGGGCGGGCTTGCTCGCGGCGGCAGCGGCGGGGCTGGGCGGGGCGGCGCGCGGAGGCAGCGCTACCCCCCCTTCCCTTCCCTTCCCCTCCCCCCCACCCCCCCCCACCCTCCCCCCCACCGCCTCACGGCTCCCGCCCCCGGCGCCTTCCGCAGGGCGGGCAGCGGAGAGGCAGCGGCACCGACACCGACACCGGGCGCGCGCTGCCGCCTTGCCCCGGGGCGCGAGGGGGCGGTGGCGGCGGCGGGCGCGCGCCACCTGCCGGCAGGCGCGCGGCGGCGCGGCCACGTGGCGCCGCCTGGGCCGGCGCGCGCTCGCGCGCGCGCGCTTTCCCGCGTCCGCCTCCCCCCCGCCCCTCCCCTTCCCTCTCCCCGCCCCTCCCCTTCCCTCCCCCCGCCCCTTCCCTCCCCCCGCCCCTCCCCTCCCCCCCGCCGCCTCGCCACCCCCACCCCCCCGCTCAATCCCCGTCCTCCTCCTCACCCCGGGCGCTGGCGGGCCCCGTGGCCCCTCGGGGATGGGGTGCCGCAGCCTTTCCCCAGGAGCAGCTGTGCGGAAAGACCGTGCGGGGACGGGGGAAGCACCCCTCTCCCCTCCCCCAGCCGTCCCTGAAGTTTTCCTCTGTTCCCAGCCCAAACTTTAAGTTGCGCTTTACGCCTTTGTTAGAGCCCGACCGGCATTCGCTTTCACGCGTGCTGGACTTTCAATTTTTCCAACCCCACCCCCTGCCTCTCCTCCACTCAAAAATGGTCGGCCCCTTTTCAACGTTAGTCACCTGGGTGTCCAGTTTAGCGAGTTCATCCAAAAGAACATCAGCGGCACCATCCAGAGTTACCAAAGCTTCTGCAGCTTTTCTGCTCTGCTGAGGATGGCTTCAAACATGGGGTCCTTCATTTCAGCATCAACAATGAGGTCAGCATAGATTTAGAGGCCAAGGTGACACCACCTTGTACTCTAAATACTTCAGTTCAATTGACTTTGGGTGAACTTTTTTGTATTTGTTTGTCTTTCAGGAATAACAGCTCTGAGCTTCAAAATAAATTAAAGCCCTGAAGTCATCTGTACTGTCTGTGGGCACAAGATTCTGTGGCAGATCATTTGCCATCTAGAAAAGACTTCTGGGGAGGAGAGTGTGCAAAATTCATAAAAACAAATTTTGCAAAATGAAGCTAAATTACATGAGAGATCAGCATGGAGAACATAGCCAACCAGGTTATTTCCCACCAACTCTATTGTCAATTGTTAGAGGGGGCTTAAACATAGCTAATTTTTTAGCTTTAATCCAGAACCATTGCAGAAAGAGAACTGAGAGAGAAGTATCCAGTGTCTCACTTATTTAAAATCAGGACAACACTTGCATCTATTGACAATCAATGCCATGTTAGAGCATATCCTTAAGAGATAATAAGGAAATAATTTCTGATAGTATCCATCTTTTGAGAACTCTATTACATGGTTTCCTTTTAAAATTCTGTACCATGTTATAATACATCCCAGTGCAGAAAGATTTATGTAAACAATTCTGTTGCGTTACTACATGCACTGAAGGAGCTGATAACCCACCTGTACTTGATTCCCCTCCGGGCATGACAGAACAGATGGGTTCCTTTGATGCTCAGTTCCAGGTGATTACCTAAGGATGGCAGTAGCAGGGGCAAGACATTCCAATATTGTCCTCCTTCTTCCATATCCTTCCAGAATTCTGGTGAAAATGTACAGCCAGGTACAGCCAGCACCTGCTATAAATAACAAGAAATTGTCAGCGTCTTGCTGCTACTCTAGAATAACATTATAAATACCGGGAAGTACTGCAGCAGGTACACACAGATTTGTATCTTTTGAATTCTTACAGCATCCACACAGCAGTGTCTTGGAAACGCAGGTATGAAAAATGCCCCCTCAGTTCTCAAATAGAGTCCCTATTATCGTAGGTAACTGCATCTTACTGTTCCCTTCATAAACATTTCAAGTTCTATCTTAAGTCAGTTTTCTCAGACTTATCGTTTACATTGGTGGGGAGTGACCAAGGCGTAAAGATGCGAGCGCTGATTTTTGATGGGGAAAGTTTAGAGAAAAGTGAATGAAAAGGAAGGTTTTAATAACAGAAAGCATTATCAAAGTACTTCTGATAGTACCTTTTTTTACTTCTTTTGAACAATAACTCAGTCTGTTAGCAGTCCTCCCCAAGATCATGTTAGTAACCTGTTGCAGAATTGATCTGGCCATCAGGTTGTCTCTAGACTCTTCCTGGCCTCACCTCTGATTTAGGGTATATGCTGCCAGATGGAGTCCTTCCACTGGTTCCAGTAAATTTGACATCTAAGCATTCCTGAGAAACACTGAAAACCAACCAAGTACATGTATGGAGAATAGTAATCATCTAGGTCACTAGGGATTCATCAAGCTTGATACTTGGAAGGCCGAGACTAAGATACATTGTACATGCAGTCCATCTGAAACTCTAGTACATAGAATTTCTAAGAATCAAGTGTCATATCCACAGAGATATCAAGGTGACTACCTCCTATTTATCAATCAGTTAGTGCGAGTTTTCAGGATCAAAAGAGACTTGCAGGCAGGTTCCTATTCATATCCCCAGGGCATTGCTGGAAAAGGAGCTTCAGCATGCACAAAAATCCTTGTCTTATGCTCTGATAACCAAAGGATGCATGCCAGAGCCATCATCTGCAAAAAGAAATACTGATGGAGGAGCCAAAGTCTCAGACTTCCCAGGGAGATATTCCAAGAAGAGACTGTTACTTGTGTCAGTTGATGGTACTATAAGCTGATTGGAGCCAGCAGTAGCAGTGGGGCAGAAGGAGATAGTAGGAGAGGAATGGTTGGTAGAAGAGACATTGCTACAGTTAACTTCATCGCATGGCGGTAACAGCAGATGTCCTTAGGTTCTTGAGACACCTGGGTGTTGGGTCTGCTATGAAAGATAGAAAGCATTGGCTGGTGGGCAAGGGCAGGATGGGAAAAAAAAGCACATGAATGCAACAGTGGTGTAAATGCACTTAAAAAATACTAACAAAAGCGTATTTTAAACACATCAATTTTACACGTCAATTTTACACACAGGTCTTGGTTAAGTAAATAAGTCTAGGACTAGTGTACCTTACCACCACTACATACTAAGTCCAATGTACACCTCTGTGTACAAAGGGAAAAGGATACCTGACTTACATTGCATGGGAAATACTGTCAGCATTATGTACAGCTCACCAAGTTTGTGGCAGACCTTGCAGCCTAGCAGAGCGCCAAAATACATGACCTAATGGGTTTTGTTGTTACATGGTCTCATATTTTATTTGGTGATGAATAGTTGCCATAAAGTGTTTGTGGAGAGAAAGAGAATTAAGCAAGAGTGGTATTCACATTGTTTGCCAAGAATAACACCACAATATATGATTATATAGTTTGCCAAAAATACTAAGTATCATGATATACAAGCACTAGGCCAAATGTATCTGTTACTGACACCATCCACCCAGCCGACTGCAGCTGAAACCATCATTTAGTCCTCTACTTTAAATATTTCAAAGAATACAGAGTATAACTTTTTGATTTTTGAGTCAAATACTCTTTGCATACATATATATTATATATTACACGTACACACTTTATTCTTGAAGGATACATCATGAACAACCATTCCAAAGAGAATGACACAAACCCAAAGCCTCCTCTAATTGAAGTTAACAAGGAAGCATAACTAGAACCTAAAGTGAATGTGTTCATGAACACGTGCAATTCAAAGTGACATAAGAGCAGCAGAAATTTACTTCCACCATTCTCCATCTTCTCTGGGATCAGGCTGTCCTGTCAGCTGAATTATAAATGAGCCTTGTGACACAGATATATTTTAAGTTTGCTTACCTTGATTTACATATTTTTTTTTTTTTTTGAGAGAGAAGAGGGATGATTTCAAAACAAAACCCCCAAACTTGAAAAACAGTACCTCAGGAAAATCTGTACAACATAATCCAAGCTTAAATACTTTGTTCCTTTTTACCTCTTTTATTAATAAAATTCCATAAGGGATCAAGCGCCCAGACACAGTTTCTGAGCAACTTTGGACCTAGACTGAGATTTTGTGACTGGACATTTCTTCCAGTGAGTTCCCAGATGAAATACTATCACACTTTTAGGAAAGATGTTTTTACATCCCAGCCCAGATTGTGGAACTGAAAATTGCTAGAAGCAGGAGGATTGAGTAGTGTTAAAAATTGTAAATAAGACAAATGCATTTCCAAGTAGATTCTGGTAGAATATAAAACAGTGAAGGTGAAATATCATTTGCAATAGAAAAGCAGAAGGAAATAAGAGAAAACCTGAAAAACAAGCAATGGAATAATCACATCTGACACATGACTGTATGCTGTAGAGGATGAAAGGATTCGAAGGATCATAGTTGAGCAGTAATGACGTAAGGTCCACTTCTGCTGAAGTCAGTGAAGTCAGTGCTGCTGACTTTACCAAGATAAGGATTTTACAGCTCAGAATCTGAAGGCCAAGTGCCAGATATCTTTAAACTGATAACCTTAGAAAAAAGATCCCTTGTGCATTTAAATCACCTTGACTTCAAGGATTTTGGATTAATTTTGCCAGCCTGCTCCAGCTGGGGATTCAGTCATCAGTAGATAAAATGACTATGGGAGAATGTGTTGTGAGGAAAGAAACCCATGGTGGAACACAGTTTTAATTGTACTTAGTATTTCTCACTGCTGCTGAGTAATATTTTCTCACACTGCAACTACTGTCATGAGGAGTGAGGAAAAAGAGCGCTTGATCTGGCCACAAACAAAGGCTGCTGAATTTCATCATATCTAAAAGGGAGCTCTAAGAGAAGCTTCTGGGCTCCAGATGAACACTTGGAAGTGATGGGGAACCCTCAGTATTCACTGAATTTTTATTCCTGAAACTAATCACTTTCACTTTTCAGCTGTGTACCTTAAGCACAGCACATGCCTCCCTCTCAAGGCTTTGCCACCAGGCTGTCCTTCTCATCAAGAACAACTCAGGCCTCCCTTGAACAAAATATTTGAGCTTGAAGGCCTAAAATCCATTTCTCTCCCAATAACTTGCCATGTATTTTCCAATACTCATGAACTATAAATAGGGATGGAGAAAAAAATAAAGACACTCATTCCTTTGAAACCTTTTGGGCCAGAAGAAGTTTCTGGCAGGAATCAACGGAAGAGTGATAACTATTTTGCTTTGAAAAACCTCTGAATTGTTCCTCCTAAGTAAGGCCAGCTGATGTGTAAGGCAGTCAGCTATTTTAGTACTGTCATGGAATTGGCCAAGGAGTTGCTGAAATACTAATTCTGTTTGACAGAAGCCCTGTAAATCAACTCCAGACAATTACCTCTGGAACTTCCCACAAGTTGGGAACCATGGCAAATTTTGTATACACAGAGGAAGGAACAGAAAAGGTGACTGTTACTTATATAACATTGCCAGTTTCAGGGGTGAAAAATCACTACTGGAGACATGCGTTCACAAGGCCATTTTCACATCCAGATAGTCATTGTCAGGAGAGATGCTTGTTTCGAAAATGTGCTGGGGACGATTGTTCCAAAGACCTGACACTTGTCCTCTAGAACATCTTTGATCTCTGTCTATGCTTCAGCTAGCTGATAGTGCAAATTTTTATCCTCCATCAAAGTGCAGTGAAAGAAATGGAACTT